TATTATATATATAGTAGTATATAGTATATATATATATATATATATACACACACACACACACACACATATATATATATATATATATGTATATATATATATATATATATATAGTTCTATATATAGTTCCATATATACTTGAAAAATGAGCAATTCTTCTCGCGCTCAATATTGGAGCGTAATTTATCGGTCTCACGTAACGATCGCAGTGTTTGGATCGCCTGCGCTCGTCTAATCGCACTTGTAATGCGGTGCGCGGAAGTAGCAAATTGCTTTGTAAGATACAGTGTTTGTATAGCCCTTGGCTTGCGCAATTCCGTATGGTTGAAGCTTGTGTGTTCGCTCAATTATTCTCTCATCTGAAGACAAGCGACGTGTAATTGCAACAATCACTGGAATATTTTTAATTGGTCCTTGCCTGCCCTTTATGGTACAGCTCACAACCTTCCGTATTGATGATAGACAGAAGGTGTATGTAGTGGCCTGAATGTATGAAGGGAAGGTTATCATCTGTACGATATTTATTCTTTACTTGTGGGTCTGAGACTCAGTCTTTATTTCCGCACTGCTGTACTTTGTAAGCCCATCGAAGATTTGGCTAAATACAAAGAATATATTGGGCATAGTTACTGGTTCAATCTTGGTAGGTTGACGACCTTTGGGGCCTATTGGCCCTATTTATGTGAGAACTTCTGAAAAGTGTTTTTGTTTTATACATATTCCCAATTCCATAGCGTTCAAAACATAACCTTCTCCTTCTAAATGAACCTTCAAATTGCCAAATTCATAACCCTCAGCCCTCCACACTGGTATGGTATGTAGTATCTAGAGAGAGAAGAGTAAGTGAACTGGTGGACTGAGGACTCGCATCACTGATCACACATGGCCAAGGACCCAATGATGGAGAGCCGAGTTTCCGAGTTTGCCGAGTCCCGACTCCCGACTGCTGTCTCTTTATTTTTATTTTTGAAAACTCCTCTGTGAAAAAATAAATGTCATCACTCATCCAACTTGTTGTCGGCCTAGAATCCAACTCCAAGAGAGTAGACTGTAGAGACCTTTGTGAGGGCCTTGACAGTTGACAGACTTGACACCCTCCTTCCAAAATGAACATTATGGGTAAAAATTAAAAAACCATAGACTCAAGACTCAAGAGTCACGAGACCTACAAGCACAGACTGTTCAATTTTATAGAAGGCTATGCATAAATACATTGCATAAATAGACACCGTCTAAAAAATTGAAACAAAAAACTTGTTTTATATATATTTTATTTTATTGTTTGTTTTTAAATGTAATAACAAAAAACAAGCAATCAGAATATACAAAGTAAAAACTGTATTTTTTGAAAATCATAGCGAATTAGCGACGCATACTATTCTGATTTAAAAATAAATAAATATATACATTATTAGTAAGTACATATGCTACTCAGTACTCACGCCAAATACCATAATTGTATGTGTAAATACGAACTAAATATCAACAAGACAACAACTAAATAAATATATGTAAATAGTTGTAATTTTGTATTTGTAAAAAAAAAATGTTTTTACAAATTCTGTTCAAATTCAAACTATATTTAGATTGCTTTACTACAATGTATTAAAGTCTCTGCGAATAATATTTGATTTAGATCGTTTGTGACGAATCGCAGTGTCTCCTGAGAAAAGCTTTAAAAAAATCAGCAGCAAATCAGGTTAAAATAAATCAGCAGCAAATCAGGAATCATTGTTGTAGAATCATGATATGTAAACAAACTACAAAGATCTAAAAGGTAAAAACTACCTTGGTTTGTAAATAATGTATTTATGCCGCTGTTATGGGCGGACAGATATATCCTCTAAAAACGAATGTAGTCCGTTCCGTGTTGTGTTTTTAAGTAGTATTAAAAATGCATGTAGGCCTTTCTGCATATGAATCATCATAAATCTCTATAAATACACAACATGACCCGATCCCTACTTCATATACTTAGTACTAAAAGTAGAACGCAGCATATATTGATACATCTAAATCAAACTAATGAAACTTTTAAGCTCAGCACTGTTAGCGCTCTGCATTTCTGGACAAGTAGCATGCGCCAGCGTACGTGAGGCAGGTGATGACCTGGCCGAGGTTGCTGACACTGCCGATCTAGATATTGACCTTGTATATGATGCCGAGGCTGAAGACCTCGAGATTAGTCAACTAGATGATATGGATGATGAAGATGACGACAATGATAACGATGATTTCTCTGTCGAAGATGATGTGATGGGTGTCGATGATGATGACGAAGATGATGACGACGACGAGGATGAGGTAGAAGAGAAAACACCTCTCCCCGGAGAAGAAGGATATGAAATCCCCGAAATGCCCACCACCAAGATTACAAAAATGCCAGATTACGCAACTACATGCGGCAAAGTCGAGAATCGTGTGAATTGTGGGAAGCACAGAGATGGTGCAATAATCAAAGCCGAGAAGGATTGCTGCAAATTCGATAACGAGTGCAAGGATAGAAGCTTGCCCAAGTGCTCAATTTCACACTGCTGTACGCAAGGTGATGGCGAGACTGATGAAGAGGCCGAACAAATGCAGATGGCATGTGACTGTGATGGTGCCGTTGTAAATTCCAAATGCTACGATTCTGTAAAGGAGGCGATGAAAAGTAGTAATTATGGCGAAACTGTATACATAGGAGGTGAGAATTGGATCGATGCTCCTATTTATTTCCAAACTAAGAAGCTGTCGGTTATTGGTGCCAAATGCAACGGGGAGCGCGCAACTATATACGCCGATTTTGACTCCAAAACTGAAGCGGCTTTTGAGTTCACAGGTTCTGAGCAGTTCGTTACCTTCCAAGACCTCGACATTAAGGGTGTGGACGGCAAAACAGCTTCAGCAATCAAGGGTAGAGGTGACGAGAACGACTCAAGTGACCAATTAATTGATTTGACCCTGCGCAACGTACATATTACGGATATGACATGCCAACGTGCTGGCTGCGGAGTCTTCCTTGGTGGGGCCAAAAATCTATACATCGATGATGACAGTGTATTCAAGCGACTGATAATGAGCACAAAAGATAATGATTTGTACGCTGGTGGTGCGGCTGTCGCAGTAATCTACTTGCCTCAGAAAAGTTCTCTCGAAATTCGAGGAACATACGAGGACAACAAAGCGAGTTATCTTGGTGGATCAATTCATAGTGGAGGAGGTGCGATTTACCTAGATTACATGGATGGCAAAGTTGCTATCGACGCAAAGTTTAAGAATAATGTGGCCAATCAAGGAGGTGCCATCAACATTCAAGGAGTTAGGAACGAGGCTGTGATTGACGGTCTTTATCTGTCTAATATTGCCGAGGACGGTGGTCTCGCCGCTCGTGCCGGTGCTGTCCGAATTATGGAGATCACAGACAATGGTTCAGTAACACTAAAGGGCGACTACATTGGAAACATTGCGCAAGGTCGTGGTGGTGTTATAGCTACTAACATTCAGCCGGAAGGCTCGAAACTTTTCATGGAAGGATTCTATCACGCCAATGCCGCCGCTACATACGGAGGAGTTTGGAATTTCTGGTCCGAGCATACAATTTTCAACGGCAATGCCTTTCTTTACAAAGGTAGCCAGTTCGAAGACAATTTGTCGGTGAAGGATAACGGTACATCGCAAATTTTGTATATCGGCGGCAATCCGCCAAAGAGAGAGAACTTCATCCCTAATCCCACTAAGAGATACACTGAAGAGTCGTGGGTGAAAAATGAAGGAAATAGTGTGATATTCAAAGGCACTCCTACACAAGCCTTCGCCTTCCAAGGTGTTGGAATACCCAGTCGTTACGTCAAGAGTGGTATCAACGCAACAGAGCTAACATATTATGCAAGCAGCTATGCCAAGCACATTCAGGACCTCGTAGATTTAGGGTTGGAGGACCCTGTAAGCGAAGCAGACGTGTTGAAGACCTTGCAGAAAACAGCTGCTGATCAAAGATACGCCTACCGTGTAATGAAGGCCGATTGGAGAGAGGGTAACGCGACAATCAGAGCTGAGGAACGAGCTGTTAACAGAACGATTCGCGTTGAAGAGGCCTTCAAAAACCGAACAGCTACAGCAGAGGAAAGATATGACAACTACACAATCAGAGCTGATGTACGCCTTGAAGAAGGTATCAAACTGGCCAATGTTAAGCATGACAATGAGACTGCAATCGCACTCGCCACATTCGAAGCCGATAAGATTGAGGCCGATCAGAGATTCTCCAATGACACGGCCGATGCTTGGGCGAAGTACGAAAATAGTACAGCAATAGTAGAGACTGACGAACTCGAAAAAGAACTAGAACAAACAGCGATCGAGAAGTTCAATGCCTACGCTCTACTTCAAGAGGAGATATTCAATTCTGCACAGGATGTTATCGACGAGAAGTATGTACTTCGCTTGCAAGAGCACAAGGATACACTGGAGGCCAATTTACAGCTTGCTGATGAAAAGCTTGAGGAAGATTTGTCCAAGGCTGAGGACCGATTCCTCAGTATCGAACAAGCCGCCGAGTTTGCGTATGACGAGAGTGCAGGAGCAGCTGAGGCCAAGCACGAAGAGACCGTAGCAGCAGCTAAGGATAAATACGATACAGACATAGAGGAGATTGAGAGCAAGTACGCCTCTGACATGGAGGCTGCCAAAGTCAAGTACGATCTTGACGTGGAGAAGGCATACACTTATAGCGATCCCACTAAATCTCTTAAGAGTGCAGCTGATCGACGAGATGATAAATTCGAACAGGTAGAGAGCACAAGGGCGGAGAAGATCGACCAGGCAACTGCTGAAAGGGATGAAACGATTGAGAAAGCAGACAGCCAGCTGGAAGAAAAACTTTCTTCCTACCAAGAGAAAAAAGACAGCTCAGGTCCCGCCGAGGAGAAGCGACGCACGGAGTCCATCGCTAAGGCTAAGTCATCGCACGCGGAGAAGATACAAGTATACCAGGAGCGATACGAAGCTTCTTTGGCCGCAGACGAAGATAAAAAACCTTTAGATATTGCCAAGAAAGAGGCGAGTATGATGACCAATTTGGAGAACGCTGAAATCCGAAAGGAGGAGGACATGGCCAAGATTGATGCTAAGAAAACTGCTGTCTGGGAGAAGGCCGAGGAGCAGAAGAAGATCGATATGGACCGTGCACAGGAACGGTTGGACGCAAAGCTGATTTCTGTCGAGGAACGATACAAAGAACGTATTGCCGCCGCAGATGAGCGCAAGAAGGTGCGTTTAGCTGCTGCAGCACAGCGCAAGGTGGATGACCTAGCAAAGAGAGATGCGCGAGCAATTACTGACGAGGCCGATATGATTTCGAGAAGAGAAGAATCCACGAAGGCTGCTGAATTGGCCAACCAAGCCGATCTCGACCGTATCCGAGATGACAAGGTGGCGCAAATGGCGATTGCCGAAGATGAGAAGAAGACTGTTTTGGCCGGAAAGCAATATGTTGAGCCTGTGGTGGTGGCTACACCTACGGCAACAGCAGCGTGAACTTCGCGTTTGTAGCAAACGAAGCACCGGTGCTACGTATAAAGGCTCACTCAGTACGCCACCACTTGGAGAAATAATCGAAAATATAAATAATTAACGTACTGCTCACTCCCTCTGTATTGTTCACTCCCTTTGTATTGTATTGGTTTCTCTTACTAAACAAAATAATCAAGTACACCACCACTCTGAGAAACAATATATAGTGATTGTCAGAATAACCCAAATTAAAAAATATAAATATATTCAATTCTATTCGATCGAAAATATGCCCCAGTAAGATATACCCATTACACATGTGCGAATATAACCATTACACGTGCCCCTCCTTGCCATCGTGTACCTCTTATATACTCAATCAACATTGCCAAAGTCACCTTGGCCATGACCTTTTACTTTTGACCTCCTTGCTCTCGATTCCCAGGTGCCTTGATTGCATACCAACGATGCGGTCGGTCAGCGGGTCAGCAGCAGATGAGTTCTAAATAAAGCGTGCAAATTCTAGACATATGGTTTTGCCAGTAAATTTGGGAGAGATCAGTCCTGTTTTTTAACACAGTCTGTCGTTTTTTTAAAACAGTTTGTCTAAATTGATGTATTTATTCACGGCTCGTTTATCATCGGAGCCGGAGCAGATGCAAAAAAATTTCTACATATACAGTTCTTCGAGAATCCATCGAGCGCAGGCAAGCGCAGGCGGTAGTCACCATAGCAAAGGCAAAATAAATTTCTTCGTGAGCGCTTCGAGCGGGGACGGTGGGGGTCCATCACCGTATGTATCGTCGTGCTGATCGTCAAGGCCCAAGAACTTCATAGCACGTTCACTCGTACCTGCCACTCGCGGCGAGTCTGCCGGACTCTTGCTGGCATTATTGCTGAACAGCACATCACCATCGTCCTCACTCGGTATACGATCTCTGCTGTGATTGCCGTTATCACCTTGCAACCGATTGAACATGGGATGCTGTGACGGGGTAGCGTTCACCGATTTTGCAGTTCGGATCGTCGGCTGAGGCCTTAATAATTGGCTTGAATGTGAAGGAGTATATGCCTTTGCGTTTGCATGTATCGTAGCGTGTGTGTTAGTCCTGACTACACCACCAGCTTTCACCTCCGTATTGTCGGTGCCGATCCTACTGCCAGATGGGTGTCCGGTTGCAGCGGATTGGTTGTGTAGCTCATGTATAGCACCAGGGTTAGAGCGGCGGAACACCGGCGAGTGAGTGGGAGAGACGGTTGGGGAGGAAGGAGTGGAATTATGGTCAGAGCTGCTATGAAATATACTGCTTTCAAAGTGACTCACGCTGCGCTTGAAGTCCGTGGCCGTCGTAGAGTTGTTCGCAAATGTTTCGATGAAGTTCCAGTTGAAGATTGATGTGTCCTGGTCAGGCACGGTGGTTTGTACCTGTATGTCGGGGATGTATAAATAGAACGAGTTGTGAATTAGACAAGAAAAGGGAGGCGTTATGTGTACAAACTTTGTTGTTTGCATCCAGGTTGTAGTTCGCCTAAATGAGAGGGCTATGCTGATGAACTATGATGCATACCACACGGGTTGTGGGTTGGATTGAATACCAACTGCAATGCTGCTAGGGTGATATAAGGAAGTTTGGAGATGTTGGGTTCAATCACAAAACGAGACGATCGCATCAGGCCACCATGATGTGCGATACCACCTGAGCCTTCGGATATCTCTGGCGATTCACAAATGGCAATCTCAGGCGAGGAATATAAATCCGTTGCCCGGCAGAAGCGAAGGTAAAAAAAAATACGTCAAGTATGTAAAATAAATATGCACCAAAACAAATTTTCACAAAACATACCGCTTTCAGCGGCTTGTCAAGCAGCTTACGAGCCATGCTGTCACTGCCGAATTGCACCATAAGTAAGATGTATTCTCGCTCCGGCATTATTTCAATTTTGATGTCTCTGCCCCATAAAGCTAGGGTATTGGATATCCGCAATATGTCCATCCCAATAACTGTGTAGTTTGCAAGGGTTGACAACTAACATAAGAAAACTCCTCTACCCAAACTACACATTTTATAATAGGGCCAACCGCTTCTACGTGGCTTCCACGTGGGTCTCACGTAGGCGGTTGTGCATGTCATCTCCACATGAAACTACATGCCATATTGAGATCAAGGTAATCACAAAATCAAATACTACAGATGTGGTAGATATCAGAAAATCACATATCACAGACAACATGTCACAGATATTGTTGCAATCAAGATAGCCACATAATAAAGATATTGTTGATATCACGAAAAATACATACCCAGATGTTGCTGATATCAAGATAAGCACATACCACAGATGTTGCTGATATCAAAATAAACACATGTCACAGATGTTGCAGATATCAAGATAAGCACATACCACAGATGTTGCTGATATCAAAATAAACACATACCTCAGATGTTGCTAATATCAAAATAAACACATACCACAGATGTTACTGATATCAAAATAAACACATACCACATATGTTGCTGATATCAAGATAAACACAACACAGATGTTGCTGATATCAAGATAAACACATACCAGAGATGTTGTTGATATTAAGATAGGCACATACCACAAATGTTGCTAATATCAAAATAAACACATACCACAGATGTAGCTGGTATCAAGATAAACACATACCACAGATGTTGCTGATATTTAGATGTTCACTTACCACAGATTTTGCTTTGATATCACGATCATCACTAACCATAGAAGTTGTTGATATAAAAACAAACACATACCACAGATGTTGCTGATATCAATAAAATCACATACCACAGATGTTGTTGATATACACCAAGTAATGTTGGCTTGGTACATTGTGAGCGTGCGCGGGCGTATCAGCGACTGTCCCCAATATCTGAAATCCACCAAACGCGAATTAGCGGTAAAGTTTGGGCCAGCAAGGATGTGGTACGTCAGCCGATCAATTGTCCCCATGTGAAGCATTAAGTTTATATAGGTACAAAGTTAGATTCTCCTTGTGTACTGCATAATGCCAAATTCCAATTTATGAACACAGCCTGGGAGTTCGATACCAATTTGCGCTAGATCATCACATATACTATATTAGTAGGATTTATGTGTGTATATACTCCCTTAAATGCAGTGCAATTTCCCACCAAAATTATAAATAGAATTAATTCATAAGACGTGATTCTTATGTATTTATATATAATATATGCACGAACCTATATATGTATGTATGTATGTATGTACGTATGTATGTCTTATATATATA